ATTGTTGTATTAGCGATTTATCCCTTGCTGAGACCTCTATGCCTGGCCTGTAAAGGCTAACAATCCTTATCAGATAGCCAAACTCACCAAATACTGTGTCTGTGAAAGTTCTCATTCATCCAGGTCATGGTATATCTGTAAAAAATAAGTCAAAGCAACTGGACTTGCTGTATTTTTCTTGAAGATGTTTCACTGGTCATCCAACCAGCTTCCTCAATTCAGAATTCACTAAAAACACCTTTTCACAAACAGCTTTATTGCTTGCAGCAGGTTACAGCAGACATCAGGATACAGCAGATGAATAAACAGATGGTATTTGAAGGTCAGAGATGGTAATGTTTCCAAGCAAGCATTTACATATGCATGTGGCCATATTACAGTCAGCCATGACACCAGAAATTACTACCTCATGAAGAAAAGGGAATACATCATAAATGGGAGCGAACACAGAAAACATGGTGCAATAACCAGAACGACCACAAGATGGCAGTGTATAAACCAGCTATAGTAATACCAAAGGATAATGACTGAAGGTAAATAACTATATAAATTCTCACTTCACATTAATATGAATATTAACTGTGACTATGAATTGTGTGATTTTTTTTACCACTGTGTAACAGCACAATTACCAAGTTGTTAAAGATACTGATGGGGAATTTATCAAAACTGGAGCAGACAAAAACTGGTGCAGATGTGCATGGCAACCAATCAGCTTCTCTCTTCAGATTCGAAAAAGAAAGAGAAAGGTTTATTGAATGCCATCTGCTCCAGTTTTTATGTGCTCCAGTTTTTGTCTGCTCCAGTTTTGATAAATTTCCCTCACTGTCTTGGTCATCAATTTCTGTAATTTTAAAAACAAATGAGACTTTGAAAGCTCCACCTACATGTATATATGATGCTAGGCACTCTTTACCCAAGAAAGCAAACAGACACTTAAATTGCAGGTTTAAAAAAATTAAAGGAGTTTACTGAAAACAATAACCATAAATGGCAAAAAACAATGGAAAAAGTCCAGGACATGATCAGTTCCAACTCTGAGATCAGATGCCAAAGTGGGTAGTAAGCCTAATCATGTCAGGGAACACTGAGAGCAGGATGAACGGTAACAATAGCCAGAGTCAGGAACCAGGAGGTCAGTCAGCCAGAGCCAGGGTCATACACAGAGATAGGGAACAACAGCACTTGGTAGATCAGGTTACACACAAGGGCAGAGACTGAATGGACAAGCTGATGGTTAAATACTAAACTGGTGTTGCATCATCACTCTGAGACCGGAATTTGTCAAAAGCTTGTTAGTAGTTGCAGAATGATGAAGTTTGTGGGTTTGGTCAAAGTAAGGCAACTGGACAAGAAGGGGTAAGAAACCCTGACAGTAAATATTTGGTATTTTGCAAAGTAGAGTAGGGACTTGCCAGAGAGTGATAACTTTGATGCAGTTAACCAATTTGAATATGTATTGCAATATATGTGAAACAAAAATTCCTGTATAGCGCCCTGTTAAACCGGTGGCAGATGAGGAGGACCCCCAGATGGCTCGTTGGGCTAGAATTTCAAACCTCGGGGCAGAATCCTTTATTCTTTGTGACTTGAAAAGGAATTGTGGACAAGTCACTTTAGAAAGATGAAAGCACAATAAACTCAAGGAGAGATGGTTAGGGCACATGATACCCACAAATAGTAAAAAATGTCACTGGCCTACTCTCTTAGTAACAGTCAATACAGACTATGGCCTTTCAAGCTAATACCGACAATCTGTATTGATAGACTGTTATAGTCAACCAGGTAGCAACAGTTCCTCCTATGATGAACAACCAGAACTTCCTGCAATGTCCAGGGACATTCCAGCATATGGCAGGGCTCATACACCTGTTTTTATGAAAGGGTTTGGTAGAAATATGGAATGGTGTATAGCAGTGTATAGAGGGTCAATTCAGAATTAATATGTGGTCATTTCCACTTTAGCGCCTCATGTGTTTTACAATAGTTCTCGAGGCACTCGGCTAATGTGAGAGTGTGTCCTTGTTACAGTACCTCTAGGATCCATGTCTGTACAGTAGGGGCATGGCCAGCCCTGTACATCTGCCACATGTTGAGCACCTCACCTCGTGGCCTTTTGGTTATGATTGATGTAAGTGTGAGCATGTGTGCAGTGGCGAATGCGTGTGCGTCAGCGTGCATTGTCGTGCAGCCCTGATGCTAGGTGGCTTGGAGGGTACTTTAAATATTTTCTTTTTTGGTGGCTGGTGCTGAGTCTTCTAACCAGCTATCCTGTGCATTGTAATTGCTATTGTTCTGATTACCCATTACTATCATTTATCTTTGACCATGCTGTATTAATATAACATGGGCCGGCTGTTAGTTGTGTGAATGAGGTCTTAAGCTAAATTAAGGTTTTTTCACTTTTCTACACAATTCCATCTGCTTCCATCCTATCCATACGCCATCTTGTGGCCTTTTTTCAAATGGCACGTTGAGATTTTACTAACTTTCGTTGAGTACAACTTTGTGACAATTTAAGCAAAGTAAACTTATTTTTTGACAGTCATGTTGTCTTTTGAGTTACAGTTCTTCATAATATTAAGAAACTGACCTAAAATCATTATTTTGTATTGCTTTGGAAAAAATGTGATCTGCCCCTTTAAGAAAAAGTATCGGTAATTGGTATCGACGAGTACTTAAAAAAAAGTATCGGTACTCGTACTCAGACCCAAAAAAGTGGTATCGGTGCATCCCTACTATCTAAGATTGGCTGACTCTGCTCCTGTCTCCAGCCTACGTGACTTTGCCTGTTTCTGCTATCCTTTTGCCTGGTGCCTGCCTCGACCCATGCCTGGCCTCCGACTACTCGCTTGCCTTCCACCTGCCTCAACCTCTGCCTGATGCCGAATACTCTCTAACCACCTGCCTCGACCTCTGCCTGATACTGAATACTCTCATGCTTGTTCTATTTCTCAACCTATGCCTGGACACTGACATTGCCATCTTATCCTATCCTGTATTATAGCCCCGAGCTCCTGCAACCTCTTGGTGCAGCAAACCTTGTTGGCTTGCAGCAAAATAGCTTGGGCCAATGTGGTCTCCAGTCCTTTGTGTCTTGTGGGGTGTTCTGGTGAAGGCCAAGTTTTCACTAACACTCCGCACCATGGGAGAGTTTGCATCACCTGCCAGGAGTGTCACCTGTAACAGTCATACTGTTTTTGTGTGCCACTTTAAAAAATCTTGTCACACCATACGCTTTAGGCATTCAGATTCGGACAAACTTGCAAATCAACGAGATTCCGTTAATTCGGCGGTTTGTCTAAATCCGAATCAACAAATTAATAACTGCCCGTATATATGAAAACCGTGCGTTCTGCATGTAATAATTAATTTGCAGAACTCACAGTGGCCATTTCGGCCACCAGAGCGTTCTGCGCAATTGTGCTGCACATGGTATCGCTCATATGCTCCGCCTTCAAGATGGAGCCACAGATGCGCAAAACGCGCTGGTGGCCGATATGGCTGTCGCACGTTCTGCTGTTTACATGTGTGGTTTTGTAGGTTTGTTGCTGCCGAAACAGCATAATGAATTGTTTAATTTGACGAAACCAATGAAAATGTTTAGATTTTTCATTCGTTTCACCTGAAACACATTTTTATGCTGTGCACATGTCTAATGAACTTTCTACATTTGTCTTACATTCAATTTTTTAATCTGTATTTGCCCAAGTTGGCAAGAAGAGAAAATTGCTCTGGATCTAAAGATTGCCTTTCTTCAGTGGAAAGGTGTGGGAACAAAAGAGAGGATCATTGGATACAGATTGTTATTGAGGGAGTCAGTTGATTTGCTGGACTACAATACTGTAATGAGGAAGTGATACTGAGGGTGAGTTTCGCTCCAGTTTTTGTTATCATGGCGGAGATATGAAAGAAGTGTGTGGGCACGTCAGCACCGCTGAGATTAAGAATATGAATTTTGGTACGCACTACCTGTTGCATTTGGTGGTGGTGAATACTATGTATACTATATATACTGTATATGGTGCTGTATATATTAAGCATGTTTTTTTTAATAATATGTATCTTTTTTATATACTGGGGTAAAATTGGAGTCGTACCTATAGCACATAACTTTTGGTATAATTTGTGGATCTTTTGTTCAGTTATTTTACTGCAGCAGCTGGGAGCGTGCTATTTATATATTTATAATAGAAAGTGCTGCATATTATTATTTATTAGACCTAAAAGAGGGATGATGGCAAGACCATATCTCCCAACTGTCTGACATAGGAAAGAGGGACACCTTCCAGCACAATGTATTTAGGCAATGGACACACCTCTGCCACACCCCAAGTTATGCAGACCTTTAGGAATATTCTGTATATTAACCAAGTATATTTGGTTAAACCCAGGATAGTTTTATTTTCACCATTACTTGGCCATTATACTGGCTTTTTGAAATAGCAAACAAGATAGCTAAGATAAAGGTTTTAGTGTAGAATAACCCTTCTGGTAGTTAAATAGTACAACTGCATAGATATCTGTACATCAGACCAGTAGAGGAACAACTGAGGAGGAAGGGGGACAGTTGGGAGGTATGCAAAAAGGACAGTGGGATGTGGGTCTAAAAGATGCATTGGCCCCCCAAAAGGGGGGCATGTGGGAACAACATATTATCTGAGCTGCAGTCTTTTGATTTCTCTTTGCACTCCTTCTCTTTTTCCAGTTCCACTGCTGACAACTACTCTCTTTGCAAACCTTTAAAGATTACAATTGCTAGATTCAGCCTGTCTCAAGTGGTTATTATTTTCCATATACAGGTCATTTTGCAGTGATGTTTGAACAGATTGATGGTAAGGCTTGGGCTCTGCTTTAGCACAGTGGTACGGATCAATAGAAAAACAAGATCCTGATCTTTAAATGTTACAACTAGCAATTCTGTCACTGCCAATCTGATCGTTTACTGGCTTATTGATTTTGAACATTAACAGTGAACAAGCAAAGTTTCAGCTGCCAAGTTTGCTTAAAACAGATGCACTGTACTCCATAAGGGCGGGAGATATGTTAAAAGCCAGTTCCTCTCTTACACAAACTCATTCAAGAAGAAGCTGTTTTGGGGATAACTCAGGCAAGTTATTAAGCTTTATGGCCATTTATACTGCTTAGCGTTTCCAATGAATCTTTAGTATTTGTATGTTATATTTAATGTTGGATTGAAAACCTGGATAAACATAAACGTCACCAGAAGGCTGGCTATTTTCATTTCAGCTTATTCCTTTTAGACTGTTATTCTCTTCTTAGCTAAGTGCTTGTTGTAACTAATATGAATGCAGAACAAAAGTCCTTATTCATCCATTTGAAACAAAAACTGTACCCAAATACGGCATGTAAATGTCACTGTAGATAATTGTGTTGGTTATGCACTGTTGTGTTTGTTTTTAAAAGACACTGGAAATCACCTTCTGAAAATGCTGGTTTCCTGGATGTCATGCCAGGAAAGTTGGCATAAGTATGGAGTTCAGAACTTCTAACTTTCCTCTTACTTCGCTTGCTGCATGCTTGTTATTGGCCAGTGACTCTGAAAGTATTTAAACCAGAGAGGAAAGCAACAAGCCATTTAAAAGGAGTAGGGCAGCAATGGCTACCCATATTTCTCTCAGTTCACTATTCCTTTAAAGTTAGATAAATGTAAGGAAGACACTGTCAGATTTGTTTTTTAAATTTAATATTATTGCAATGAGTTTGGAAGCTTGATATGAACATAATATAAAAGTTGATCCAAAGGGAGTTGCAGTGTTTTTCAGCCTAAGCTACTGAAGCCGCTGGCAGATGATTATATTTTCCACAATTTATCACACAATCTCACATTGTACACGCATTTACTTGTATAATAACTATATACTATGCTAGATTGAGATTGGAACATTCTCCTCAGATGTCTCTGGGTGTACCTAGTACTGATTCCACTTCTGCGATTTCACAATTCTGAAATAGTTTGCGTAGTTTTGGACTAGAAGTGGGAAGCTGCGTTTATGTAAGTTTAGGTATGTTATCAAAGGCTCAGAGTCCATTTTCAAGCAGAATGAAAAACTGTTTGGGTAATTTATGTGCAATGAAACCAATGCATATTATCCCATGGGGTTAGACATATTATTATTTCCCCAAAAATAATATCTGCTTTCACAACTTAAATAATGACTTAACTAAAGTGTGCCCATTTGCTGACAAGTATAAATACTTTCAGGGGCGGAATGAGACCTTGAGGCTAACCAGGGAAACTTAGGTCTTGGGGCCATGAAATGTTTCAACATGGCACCGTACATTGTTCATCCATCTACACCATCTTTATTCCTGATACCACATGATAAAAGACAATGCTTTTTTCAATGTATTTATCACACATTGGAAAATATTGCTAATATATAGCAAGTCCGCATGCAAGGCAGTATAGAAATGTTTGTCTCCTTAAAAATATGTTGTTATGGACTTTTCTTTTCCTTTCCTATTGCTAAACTATTGTACAGTTCTTTATCTCTTCTTTTTTCTTATACTTGTTGGCTTTCAATTTTTTTTTACATATACGATGTACCCTCCATTAGTGCTCTGCGATGTAAAAGTGTCAGGTGTCGTCACAGCAGGAACATGCAGTTTGGAGCAAACATCCTATTACTGGCATGGCAAACAAGGTAACGCGTTTCTGGGGTGACGCTCCCTTCATCAACAGAGGTCTGATGAAGACCTCATCGGAGGTCTGATGAAGGAGACGTCGCCCCAGAAACGTGTTACCTTGTTTGCCATGCCAGTAATAGGATGTTTGCTCCAGACTGCATGTTCCTGCTGTGACCGACATCTGACACTTTTATATCGCAGATTATTCTCTGTAACTACAGGCTTGTTTACACTGGCTGCTTGTGAGTACATTCTTGCTTTATAATCTCCACTTAATAAAGTTTTCTACACTATAGAGGAGCACTAGTTTTATGTTTCCTGTGTGCTAGAGCTTCAGACACCGTGGCTGTCTAAAGTGCTGCCCTCCTGTTAAGAGTCGCAGTGTATATACCCTTTGAAAATGAACTTTGGCGCCAATGACTTTGTTTGAACTGTGTGTTCTACATTCTTATACCTTCTTGATATAATGTTAGATATTTACCTTTTGTTCTGCTTTATCTCCTTGTGTAACTTCAATAAACATTATTACATAGAAAAATGTTATTATGGGTACACAATACAAAATATTTGCATCTTTCGATTGTTATCTTTATCTTAAAGATAGTTGAAGAATAAAACATGGGATTGAGCTCTCAGTTTTCCTATCACCAGGTGGCAGGCACATAACACAAATAGATGCAATCCATGTTCAGTGACATAACTAGGATGCTCCACAGCTGCATATATTGTCCTCAACTAAACTTCCATTCAGCTGGTGGGAGTTAAGAAACCATTCTGTAATCCATACAAGGCAACAAGCCACAACTTGAAATCCTCTAATAGTTGAGCCCTCTTATGCCCTTTGTGACAGTGGTGAGAATTTGAGTGCTCAATCACCAAATGGCAGGCGGTAAAAGAAGGGAAGGAGAGAATATGAGCAGCTGGGAATGGAGGCAGTTAAGAAAAGCACTATTTCAATGCAAGGTAAGGTCAGCTTTATACAAAATTACCTATCATATTTTGCTGAAAATGCTTACAACAGAGAAGTTTTCATAGCCACACCTCATGTACAGTTAGCAATGTATAATCAAGTCAGAACCATTTAGCCTTATTAAAGGTAAAATAAAAAAGCCCCTACAGGTCATCAGATACGCGTAAATATTGACCCTAGAATTATTGCTCTCTAGCGTGCGCGGCGATGCCCAACATTTGTAGCATGATCGTCATTTTAGTACGTAGGTGCACCCGACGCATGTTTGTGTGAAAAACGCGCATGCTTTAAAATGTAAAAAAAGTTTTCATTATTTTTACATTTGTTTTATTTATTTTTATTTTTAAAACAGTTTTTTTTAAACTTTACTTTAATTGCTATCACATAGGGGGGCTCACAAGCCCCCCATGTGATAGCATATTGTCAGTGACAGGTCCTATTTAACCCCTTCGTGATGGGAGGCGTACACTGTACGATCTGCCACGAAGTGCCCACATGACTGCTCACGTACACTGTACATGATCAGCTATTTGGGGCTCTGTAATGCTGGTAACCGATGAGAATCAGTGGTTATAGCGGTCATTAATGGATGCCTCGGTATTGAGTCATTCATTAATTAAAGAGTTAAGCTTTTTCAGACACCCGATCCCTTTCAGGAATCCGGTGTCTGACAGTGAGAGCAGAGCGGCATTTACAGTTTTAGCCATCATCGACAGCTGGTAAAGATCGGGAAATTCCGATGTATACCGGCTTTTTTCCCCCTAGACTTTCAGCAATAGATACATTTAGCTACATGTTTCTATTAGTGAAATAATTTTGCAGGTTTCCGATTGTTGTTGGAACGATCAGAAAACCTTTAGTGACATCTGATCCTGAAATGCTGCAGAATCAGTGTCATTAAGGTTATTATTGGTTGTTCTTAAGTTTGAAGCAGCCTAATAATAACTATAAATTAATGAATTAAATTATCATGCAGTAATAGTGAGATTAATTCACAATGACTGCTTGATATAATTAAATCAAACAAATGTCTGTTTAAAAGACAGGAAGTGGTAGATAGCAGGTGAGGAGTAGTGAGGAGTGTAGAGGAGGCTGGAGACTGAAATTGTGCATTGCTGTGGAAGTGCATGTCAGTATCCTGTGTTCAACCCTGTTGACTGGGAAAGTTATCCTGGAAGTCTAGGACTGTCTAACTGCGATTGGAGCTTTGAAACTTCAAGTCGGTGAGACGGTTATTCTTTGTTATGCTGAAGAATTGCGGTTTAAGTTTTCCAGCTAGTCCATGAAGACAAACTGTTATGTTATTTTGCTGCTGTGAAGCTTTTTAAGTTAATAAACTTTACTTTATTTGAAAAGCCTGTGTCCTGTATCATTAATATAAAAACTAACCCATTACAATGAATCTGTAGATTTGTTTTTCACCCTAAGGGGTTAATTTTTTTTAATTTAACCCCCTCATGACAGTGATGTTCAAAGTATGTCACTGTCACTAAGTGTGACACTTAGTGACAGTGACATTGTATGCCAGGTGACCACTTTTAGCTTTAGCTTTTAGAGAGAAAAGATTAAAATGTTAGGTTTTAGGCCAAAAAAAGTACAGAAAAATGTCTAAAATCCTTGGGATGTGAGGTTTTTCCAAATAAAGGACAAATAAATGGATGTATTTAATGCATTTTTTTAGCTGTGCTATTTTCCTAAAAAATACTGCAAATCAAAACTGGGGAAAAAGTTTAAGAGTTTTCATATTTTCATATTTGTTTGTTCTAAGTGAGGCGTTAGGTACACATATGTGATATAAATATACACCCCTATCTTTCCTCTAAAAAACAATATATAATATGTGTGGGTGCATTTTGTAAGAAGGTATATTACTGAAGTGGAAGAATCACACAACAAAAATGTCAAAAGTGTGTCAGTCATTTACGAACAGAAGCTAAAAATAAGCTCAGTCAGGTCCAAAAGACCCCTAGTATCACCTTTCCACTTTAAATAAGCTATTGAAGTGCAGATCGCACATCAATAGCTTATTGCCCAGCTTCAGGAGCCGAGCAATGACAGCTATGGGAATGGAAGTGATGTAATACTCATCACTCCCGGTCCCATAGAGAGGGGAAGAGATTGGTGAATGGCAATTCGCCGAACTCCTCCCCTGGTTCCCGCCAGCACCCAAAATGCCGGTCCCAGGCCAGCAGAAGGGGCAGCAGAGTCCAGGAAACACGTCAGGGGTGTGGCCACTTTTCTCGGCCCGTATAAGCGTTTTGGCGACAGCTGAGTCGCCAAAATTGCTTCTATTGTAAAACAGGCTGCCGGTTCTACAAATATGAACAGAGTCGCCACCGGGAGTCTGTTTAACCCCTTAAGGGCCCATGACGGAATTATCCATCATGAGCCGTGAAGGGGTTAATGATATTGGGGAAGGTGTTAATAGCCATGTTTCTATGTTTGCAGATGATACTAAAATTGGGAGAGTAATAGACATAGGCTTACACATTATAACATTACAGCAGGACCTGGATAAAATAGGGGAGTGAGCAATTATATGGCAGATGAGGTTTATTGTTGAAAAATGTAAAGTGATGCATTTTGTGGTTAAAGACAGGCAAGCAGAATACACATTAATGGGTACTCCAACATCTGGATTGGCTGAGCCGAACCTCCGGCAGGCTACTCGCTGCTGTTCGGTCTATTCTTATAGATGCCGAACAGCAGTGAGTGAATAGCCGATTGCCGCTGAGCGGCATTTGGCTCGGCTGTTCTGCTGCTTTAAAAAGTCCAAAAAAATAAATAGAAAACCATTGTGCAGAGCCCTCTGCTGCAGTTCTCCATCAGGTCCATCAGCAGAGGGCGGGTGCAATGCTAGTTTACTTTATGCTATTGCAAATTGAAATAGCCAATAGGAATCTAGCAATGCATTCCAATGGGCAACATTTTTTTTAATTTCTATTCTGACACGGCTCCGTGTCAGAATAAAGAAAAAAAAAGAAAAAGCATTCTTTCTCTCCTGGGCGGCCGGGAGCAGGAGACTCACGGAGCGCCCGGGAGAGTTTGCTGTCTGGAGATCAGTGTCCCTGGTTAGCTGGTAACCAGGGACGCTGATCTCACTGCAAGTGGCTGGAGCCAGCCGGAAGATCACGGCTGGGTCCCCCCCGCCGTAAGAATCACGCGTGGCGCCCCCC